CTAGAAAATCATCAAGTCAATTCAAAACTCCATCAAGGCCAGTAATTATTTCCGTAATTCTCTTTTGGAGAAATTTCTTTTGGTAGACGTCAATAAGGCAATCGTCCCCAAGGGGTGATAAATGTTCGACCATGAACATATTTCCATGTTGTTTTTTTAACATGCGATTGTTTTTCATCTTTGAACAAGTGAAGAATGAAGTTGACGGTAAGAATGAGGCGTCGTGATACTTCTTACTGTACTCAATATCTGGTATTCGGTATTCAATCGTGAATATCTCCGTCAATATTCATCCCATCAAAAAACCGCTTCTTGACTTTCGACTTGTTTTTCACGAAATACACTGCTATGTAGGTAACATGCACGAATTTTGTTACCCCCTTTATCTCTGTTATTCATCTCTCTTGGAAATACTGGTTCTTTCAAAACCGCTGCCGTCTAGTGAGCTTTGACATTCGCTGTCTCTAGAGACAATTTTGGGTCTAGTTCCAACGTTCGCGACAGTTTCTCATTTCTTAACCCAATTTTGATTTGATTTCTCACCAATTTATTTTTCGAAGTTTCATACTCACAAATGAGGCGTTTCATACTATTTCAATCTGCTTTTTATCGATTTCGATGAAAATTGAATGTGATGTAGAAGTACTCCAAGCATGCCTTGAAATGATATTTGAAAAAAAAATTATTTTTGAAAATTCTGCGAAATCAAAATTTTTAGGTTGGACCAGATAAGTGATTTGAAAAAAGTATATAACTCGATGAATACTAATTTTAATAAAGAACTACAAAAGAACTTGTTTATTCAAAACAGGTGTATATTTCGGGGGGAAAAATCCAGACTCGAAAAAATTGAATTCACAATGAATTAATTAATAAACAAATTAAAAAGCTTGCAACTCATGAGGGCATGTCGCTAAAAATTTGAAAAAATTTATGTTATAGAGTAGAGTAGGTATCGAATAATTGCCGATATTCTATACAAAGGATTTTTTCTAAACCCGGCTGTTTGGCGCACTTGGTAGCAGCATAAGATTCACAACCTGAAGCTCCCAGGTTCGAGCCCTGGCCGGGCCAAAATTCCACACCAATTTTTCATCACAAATTTCCACATAATATTCATCTGAAAATTTAACACAATTTTAAAACCGAATATTCCACAGATTTTCCAAGTGGAAAAACGCACTCCACATTCAACATTCCCTGGCTGAAGGCCTTCGGGCGATGGCCGCGTTGGCAAGTTAACCCTGGCAACGAAAAACCGGTGAAATTTGAATTTTGGATTCTTTCTATTGACTTTATTGAGTCTTTGGCGAATTCATAAAAGACTTGTCGTGTTTTAATTTGATTTCCACACTGTCGTTGTAAGTTCGCTCGAGCTGTGGCTCTCTTTCCCGTTTCACCGAGGCCATCACAAGGCGATTTTCCATGGGATGTTGCGAAGAAATGCCATTCAGCACTCATACCGAAGTCCAATTCATCGTAAACGAGATTAATGAAATTTTTCCTATTTTTATATTGAGAACTGTCACCGTATGAAAAGTGAATTATTTTATTTATTCGGCTGTATGTAGTTTTCAAGCGGTTAATTACTTTTCTAACAGATAGGTGAACGGTTGCCTTATGGACCAGTTAACGGTCCATTGACATTTCCGGGAATCATTTAATTGTCAGTAAGTAATATAAAGTCAGGAGCACCTGTTTTGTCATCTCCCAAAATTCGTTATTGATTGAAGTTCGAAGAAAGTACCACGCTAAGAATCCATTGGGTATGATTCACTTCGCGCGTTTCCCTAACTTAGTGTGTCAGGGGAAACCTGCGACTGGCGCAGCTTCATAAAAAACTCAAAATCTCGAGAACTATTGGAGATGAGTGAGCGCCAATTGTATCGGCAATTCTTCAGTACCTACTCTATAACATATATTTCGAGTCTGTATTTTTTTCCCTGAAATTCACACCTGTTTTGAATAAAAAAGTTCTTTTGCTCGTTTTTGATAAAATTCATATTTATCGAGTTATAATTTGTTTAAAAAAACGCACCTGGTTCAACCTAAAATTGAGATTTCTCATAATTAAAAAAAAAAAAACTTTATTTAGTAACTATCCAAAACGTGTATGGAATAAGTCGACAACATTTTCAATTTTTCTTTAAGTTTGAAAAAGAGCCTTTTGATTTGATCGAAGGAGTATGGAACGCCCTATATGCTATTTTCACATCATGTCCGGGCGTATGTATGTATGCATGTATGTGTGTGTAAATGTGACCGATCGTTTTTCGACGATAAATGAAAAAATAATTGTTTTAATGAATCCAATTGTGATTTAAAATATTCTTCTCAATGCCATGTTAACAGAGATCGATCATAAGATTGATTGAATCATCTACTGTGGCAAAGATGCATTTTGAAACCAATATTTAGGGAAATGAATCATTGAATTCAATTAAAAATAGGGGAGGGTGTGACTGTACCGCTCAGCGGGTAATACCGCTCACCCGATTTTGTCCACAACCATCAACTTGAAAAGTTCTTTCTGTTCCTGATCATGAAGAATTTGATGATAGGATGTGATTGTCGGAAAAATTTCACTTTATTTACCACTTTAAATATGAAAAAACACATAACGAAGTTTTGAGATCTTTACAGTGCAAAATTTGTGGACTTGTAATTAAGGTTTTTGATAGTTTCAAACGCTGAATTCTCATATTAAATCGTGGTTATTCGATTCGTGGTACTTTCACGCGTAATTTGAGACCAATTCGAACTCAAAACTCCACTCATGTCAATAATTATCAACAATTTTGTTGACGCCGAGCGGAGCCGGTAATACCGCTGATAGGATCGGTCACAGTAGTTGCTCAACAGCACTCGAATACAGGTTAAGTTGCGGCGCGAGCGATACACGCAAAACCCTATGAGCGGCATTGGAATCGTGCCGAGCGGTATTACCCGACGGCGGGTAGTACTGCTCAATAGGCTCTGTCTTTTATTTTCAATGAATTTTGTGGATTCTAAGGAGAATTAGGCGTCTTCGAGAATAACGAGTTCAATAGTTGAAGAAGTCTCACAAATACGTTTTTTATACTCATGTTGAAATATAAAATATAAAACTGGAATTTCCCCTTAGGTGGGTGGTACAGGCACACCCTCCCCTACATCGTCATAAAAATTCCACTCGGAAGCAAATTGCTAATTTATTAGCAAAAATATATAGACTATGTTGTGACGAAAGCAATTTCCCATTTAAATTTGTGATGTCTTTTTCTAGTACATTTATGACGACAGCACGCCAATAGTTTTGTTTCCAAAGTTGAAATTCTAATTACAGGATGAGGAATAATAAAGAGAAAGTCAGTGCCATGATGCATATAACTTTAATACCAACGTTTATATGACTTTCCGCAGAATTACCGTTTGTCATTTACCTAAAGTAAGAGAAATTCGCATACTTACCTGAATTCCCTCGGTTAAATATCTCATTAAATTAATTCAATTAATCAAACTGAAATTGATGAGTGAGGAAAGATAAATTTATAAAAGCAACAGATATAAACTTTTATCAAATTAAATTCCTTGCAATTGTTTTTTATCTTTTCTTAGAAGGCGTATACCTCATGATGTCACTTTTTATTGAAATATCTCGAAAACTGTTGCATCGTTGAAATATATAAAAACCCCTCAAGGACGGGGTCCATATACGTATATGGATCCAAGCAAAAACGCATGATTCTGTTCAAAACTGGATAATTCCAAAACTGTGACAGATAATCTAATTTGAAGTGTAGCTTCAATTTTCAATGCATTTTATAATTTTTGATGCATCAGAATTTATTGAATCTCAGTGATATTAAGCGCAGGTCAGGCTTCGTAACACAAAGGCCCCGTACGCGAGGGGTTAATAGGAATTGATTATTCATGATTTTTACTCTGAATAATCTACTTTGAATATTTGATGTGGAAAACTATGTTTCTATGATTCTTCTCTGAGAGAAATATGGAACATGCGATGCATCTCTCTTAACTAGACGGTCGTAGGGTCCTTTACCTCAACTGAATGATGTGAATTGCAAAAGTTGATATTATTACATTACAATAATCCGATTAAATTTTTCATCGCCGATTTGAATTCTTTGCTATTTGTTTATGTGTTCTATGAAAATGTGTAGATAGGAATTGAATTTACGTGTATTGATTCATTATTCGCAAACATATATCAATTTTCAAATTTTTCCTAGACATTGAAAAATTAAAAATTCTGTTTTCGTGTTGATCTCGTTGCTCTTCCTCTTTTCACTTTCTTCCATCAGAATTAGATAATAGGAAGAAAATACATTAATTTTTCTTCATTATTAAAAAAAAACGTTTTGAAATTTTCAAGATTGAATAATCGATTTTTAAACTTTATTTCTAATTTTCCTTCTCTACATTTTTCGTATTTCCTGGTTCTGTGAACGGAATACGATCACAGAAGTTAAAAATGTTAATCTCCCTTCATTTTTTAAGAAGAAAAAAACAATTTGAAAAATTTCGAAGACAGAAAAATAGATTTTTTCATTCTATTGATACTGATTAATGATAATCGATCTCGTTTTGCAATTTTCTTCTTCGGTTCCATTGAAATGAGATCAAAAGGATGTAAAATGTTCATATTGGTTAACATTTTCAGATCATTAGTAATAATTAATTTAAAAAAAAGAAAGAAATGAAAAATTTTAGGTACGATTATCGAAAATTGTTTGTCGATCTGTATTCTCACGTGATTTATGGTAAATTTCTCTTCATTCAGTGTTGTAACTTGTGAATTGAGAAATAAAAATATATATAATAACAATAAGAATGAATAAAATTAAATTAGTCTAATTGTGAAGACAGAAATGGAAAGAAAATAAAATAAAATAACAGAGCATAAATTAATCCAGTGACGGGCGCGAAGCGCCCGTTCGTTAGTTACTTATGATTCCTTTACAGAATTTGGTCAATGAAATACGCACTCAATACTTCTATGATAAAATTCTTCCAACGGTTTATTAATGTGAAATCAAGTAGAATTAAATCAATCTAAAATTTTACAAATTGAATTAAACTCAAATTTTCACGACGCCTTATATCATCTTCATGAAATTGATTATTATTTATGTCCATAATTTGTTACGTATAATAATCACCATTACATATTTTCTCGTATAAACATTCTCGTAATTTACGACTGATTGACTGGTAAATTGGTGGATCGATGAGTCGCTCGAAATGACAACTTCAATGTAATCAGCTATATTGACAATCTCAATATAGGTGACACTAATGAACATCTTATCTTAAATATACATGACAATACCATTGGGAACATTATTATCTACCTTTTCTTTTTTGCCCCTCCTCCAAAAAAATATGCAAAAGAAAAGATGTTTCACTCCTGATACAAATGAACTACTGGACATTCCTATGTACCCACCTTAGATTTTTTTTCTGAATTATTAGTCTTCTGGGTTTCGTCGGAAGCTGGAGAAACCACAGAATCATTTTTCTGAACTTCATCAGTCGAATGCGAAGGTGACAGTTTGACCGTTGTTTCTGAAAGTGGGACATTTTTTTCCAGACAAGATGGATTCTCACAGTCAGATTTATTACGACTTTGTGAATCTTCAGTAATTGTGATGTCTTTTGTGGTCATCTCTATCACAGTTTGTGAATTTGAAGTTATTTCAGTAATTGCATTTGTTGATTGATTATCATCATGAGAATGTTCCGTCAAATTGCTTTTCTCTTTTGTCTCCTCAGGTTCACTATCACTAACCTTAATTTCAGATAATTTATCTTTAATTTCTTGGTCATTATTACTTTCAGCTGAGAGAGAATTGATTACAACAGTTTCAGTCTTCAAATTTTTATCTGATTCTTCTTGAGATTCTTGGATTTTTTGCTCATTTTCAGTCTCGAAGATGACTTCTGCTAAAGAACCTTGTAATTGGACCAAGTTATCCTTCAACTCTTGACAGTCTTTTGATAGTTCCTCCACCTGTTGAATGTCCATTTTATTTATTTTGGTAGGATCGTCGGATGGATTTGCGTGGGCGTGGGCACGTAACTGGGCCAGGAGTTCAGTTCGCTCGCGTTGAAAGGCTTTGCACAGCTCCTGAAGTAATGAGAGCTTGTGAGTGAGTTTTGACATCTCTGCATCACGAGTCTGCTTGTCAGCTGCCATGTCCAGTAGTGCTGCGTGACTTTTTTCCCACCGTTGTTTCCATAGGCTTGTTTCCTTTTCCAATTTTAAGATTTTCTTGGACATCTGAAAAAATGGAGAGCATTTTTCATTGAATGTATAGGCTATCTGCATGAAAAAATTCAATAGAAAACCTAGCGAATTCGCTAGAAAATTCTATGGGGTTTCTATAGAATTTCTGTTGGAATTCTACCGAAAAATTCTACCTGCTTTTATGGTCTGATTCTATTGCATATTTGATAGGAAAAAGTCAATATATTTTGAATTTCTGTTCAAACTTTTCTCTTGAGATTTTGTCTATTAGTATTATTGGGCCCAAATTTTCTAAGTTTTTTCCACTCGGAGTCTGTAATACAAAACAATACAAAATCCAGCGGAAAAAACTTAGAAAATTGATGCCCAAGCATTCTTATAGAAAAAATCTGAAGAGAAAAATTCCAACAGAAATTCGAAATCTGAGTTTTCCTTATCGAATAGCCAATAGAATCAGCGCAAAAAACAAATAGAATTTTTCAATAAACTAGGCAAGACGCGCGCTTCGCGCCCGCTACTTAGGCTGTGTGGTTCTGATACTGAATTCGATACTAAAGAACTGATGCAAATATTTGTATCTGTTCTCCAATCTCGAATTCTTGAGTCAAATTCTTGATTGCGTCGACTGATCGAACTCACTTGACAACGGCACCAATAAGAAACTACATCAAAATTGCAATGATCCCAGCGAATGGAACCAATGTAATGTCTATACACAGAAAAAAATTCTTGATTCAAATCGAATATTAAACCCCCAATCGAACCGATTAAGATTTAATTAAATCAAAAATCATACCAAGTATATTTCATTAATTTGGACTGAGTATATCCAAACAAGTCATAGTGATTTTTTTTCAATAGAAATATCAATTTTCGCCTAAAACTTTCATAAGTCTGCGAAAAATGGCTGAAATAAAGTGGTTAATTTCTCAATTTGGAGCTTATTCTATGAGCTTCATGTCGGATATAGAATTTCTACGAGTTATTCTACGAGAAAGACACCAGCTCGGGACAAAACACTGAAATAATAACTTTCCAATTTGCAACTAACAAAATTTGACACATACACCATATAGCATACAACCCGCATCGTCACAATTGGAAGAACGAAAAATGCCCTCTAAGGATGACCTATTGATTTCTCCGCTGATTCGACTCAAAGCGCTAGAAAAATCCATCGCAATTTGAATTTTCGAATAACCCATGAAGGAATAAATGTTTGCCAAAAGATCTCATGAGTCTGCGAAAAAATAGCTTCACAACTGATATGCGATTTCTACTGATAATCAAATCAGAAAATAATAATTCAGGACAAAACGATGAGAAAATGTGAAATTTTCAATTTGTGACATGCCAAATTCGAAACATAATTACCTATAACAATGGATCAAGTGGACGGAATGAAGAAAAATCATACGTAATTTTGAAGATCTCATTGTGATCTTCAAATTGGTGTGAAATAAATCTACATTGGCCAAGTATAAAGGTCCAAAAATGAATGAAAAGACCGAATTTTGGGGTGTGACATGAGCTTCGAAACAGCAACAATCTCTAATAACTTCATGAAAATTCAATCAAATCGTATTCTATACATCACAATTTGAAGAACCAATTATACCGTTCAAGATGATACGTTGACTTCCCCGCTGATTCAACTCAAAGAGATAGAAAAATCCAGCCAAAATTAAATTTTCAAGTTAGAAGCGAAAAAACAATTTTCTTGCAATAAAAGAAAAACAAGCAGCTCACCGCACCTATGCTGCAGAGGGCATATGACTGTATTTTATGTGTTATTTGTATTTCTAATTTTTTATTTCTACCAATTCTATTGGTAGTAAGCTTTCGAATGGACCCATAGCAATTCTGTTTCAATTTACAAGAGAAACTATTTTCTCACATCATATTCCTATCCCAATTTTCCCTCAAGTTATTATGGGAACAACAAATTTAGGGATAACCGAAAATGTAAAATTGCCAATATCTCTAGAATCTTATATATAAAAGAGAAGCGATTTTCGAGGCGACTGACGTATCAAGCTACAGCCCAAACTACAAGAGCTACGAGCATGAACTTTTGCCTACAGCTACCCTTAGTGACGATATATCGCCGATAAAAAAGCAGAAAAACAAGTTGATATCTCGATTTTTGCGAGGGGTAGAGTGCGTACAAGTTTTTTTTTTTATGAAAAACGGAAAAATCGAAATATCTCGAAAACTTTGTATGAACGGGTACACATATTTTGATTGAGTCGGATAGAGAACATCAAGACGAACATTTTGAAAAAAAAATATCGAAATTGGTCTAATAGTTTTTGAGATTTTCGCGAAAAACGATAAAAATACAAATTGCTCTCTCTAAAAAACAAATGGACCGATCGGGCTGAAATTTGGCACAGAGGTACTCCAATTCAATACCAAATATCTGACAAAATTTCAAATTTTTTGGAACTGTTTTAGCCCTCTATTCGTTTAATTTACGAAAAAATGACCACGAGATGACCGTGAGCACACACACATGGTGTCCAAACTTCGTATTTTTACGTTTCAGACCATTCTACATCGTTTCCAAGCAAAATTAGAAAATGTGAAAATACAATGATTTCAAAGCTTCCATTTGGAAGGAAAAATGAAGAAAAATAACAATTTTCTGTCTATAAGTTCCATAGTGAGAATGAGAAATGACCAGAATCCAATAATTCCCTTATCAATTTGAGTATAAAATATATATGGTTTATCAAAAAGCGAGAACGGAATTAGCATGAAAACCCGAAAAAAGACCAGCGTCACGATTACGGATTGTCCTATTGGGGGTCAGAAATATTATGCAAGATTTTGAAGAAAAATAAATACCCTTCAAAATGGTATATGATGGGTTTCATTCGTTTCAGAAAATCCAATCCAAATTGACTTTACGATAAAATCGTGGAAATTTATTTAATGAATCGGATCTTTTATAAATGAATGGAAATTGCAGATAAATGAATGAATCAGGTACCAATGCTGAAGTAATTCAATGTATTTGCAGCTTAGTATGAAATATCTCCATAGATTCGGACAGAAACCGAGAAAGTTTTGTCATTGAGAGGAAGAAATTGGCACTTTTCAAAACGTGACATGCTAAAATCGTTACATCATCGTTTATAACAATTCATCTGGTGAATCGAATGGATAATATAAAGTATCAATATGAAGATCTCGATGAGTTCTCGGACGTTCCCCAGTTCAATTAATTGAATTAATTTAACGATGCCATCTAGAAATTTATCTATTGGATTGAATGTCTTGGAAAATCCCTGACAAAAAAAACTGAAAGCGTGATTTTTTATCCAAAATTACCTGTATTCTTAAAAAATAAAACAGTAATTTTTCTGTCACGTGACATGTTTATAGTAAAAATTTCAAAATTAAAAATGAAATATCGATTTCTCATTATTTCTTTCACAGATGTTAGCCAATAAGATGATTGATGATTGATTGAGAGGAGTACTCAAGGCCAATTATTTTCTTCGAACTTTCTTACATGGAAAAAACGTGCCATATTTTATCAAAAAATCGGATAAAGACTACTGGAAATCTGATGGACTGCATGAAAAGTACTCAACATTTAAACATTCTTTAGACATTGTCCCCTAAAATCATTAGTTTAAACATTTTTCACAAAATAAGAGACATAAAAAATTTTAATTTGGTAAAATTCATCGAAATGAATTCTTTGCTTAATTGTGGTCAATTTTTATTGCGCATTACAAACGACCAATCCACTTTCAACGAAAATTTCCTCACAAATGAACGCATTCATTTAGGTGAAACTAATAGCTATTCAGGGAAACTCAATTCAATTTCTACATAATTTCTTACGTTCGCTAATCCATTGAATTTAATAGAAAAGGATTTATATCAACGATTGACTATGTCAATAATTTTAAATTCATTATAGTGAATTACCTTTTCCATCTCTTCATTGAAACCACTGAAAACTTCATTGCTCTTCGTGAGTGCATTTTGAAAGTCATCATACTTCTCGGTATACATGCTTATCTGACTTCTCAGCCCCACTTCAGTGGCCTGCAGCTCCTGTATTCTTACTTGATACTCGGTTAATTTCTGCAATGAGAGCATGTTGGAATAATATTAATATTAATGATTATGTGGATTATGAGGACAAAAACAAGGTATAAATTAGTTTGAATTTTCACCTTCAGAAAACAGTAACCTGTCTACGTTCTATCTATGTTCCATCTTTAAAATAATTCCTGCATAATGTGAAATTACATATTATCTATCTCAACGTGGATGAAGTGATTAAGCATTCGGATAGTGTAAAATTTCACTTTAGACGCGGCGAATGAACTGCAGGAAATGAATTTGTCACTTTTTTCTAGATGAGCAACTCCATCAATTCTGTTTATGAAAAAAAGCCGTAAAATTTTAAAACCTTTTTTCTACAGTTTATCGGAAAGTAAAAACGAACGCAATCGGAACTCTCCACCTCACTAATTGGCGGAGATATTGAAGATTAAATTTTTTTTTCTTCTAAAAACTTTTTCGTTTCAATTCTAATTACGAGCCACTAAGAACCAAAACAATTTGAACTCATAGATTGTGTCGATAATATTCTCAGTTGAAAAAAATATCTATAGCTTTTTGTGTATTTATGTATTTTGGCATGGAAAACTCAAAAAGAAAGTTTCAAACGGTTATTTGGGGTCATTCCCCGCCCTTTTTTCTTTTTTTGTTTTTTTCATTGTAAAGTTAAGAAAATTTCCTAACCAACATTTATTCTTAATTTTGGTGCTCTGAAGAATTCGGAGGTGAAATGGAGAGAAAAACCAAATTTAGTCCTCTCAAAGAATTAGTTCTCCTAAAATATCTCGAAATCTAAAGGAGATAGGGAAATTTAGGGATGAATCTTTCTTATAGAGCAGAATGATATCTATAAAAAGGCTTGTATGACATTTTTTCCATGTATTGTAGATTCAGAAACATTCATTGAAAAATCATTTCCCGATTCAGTTGCCAATTAATTTTTTTACCATATTTCAGAACTGAAGAAAATGTCGCTTTCTTGAAAATAAAAAACACAAAAAAAAGGATGGAGAACGATCGCAAATGACCTTTTGAAACTTTCTGTTAGGATTTTCTATGCCGAAATACATATATACATAAAAAAAAACTTTTTTTTTCGCAAAGAGAAGATGTCGATGAAATCTGAGGGTTCAAGTTATTTATGTTATTCTTAGTAGCTCGTCATTAGAATGGAAAAAGTTTTTAAAAGAAAACAAAAATTAAAGCTTCAATATCTCCGCCAATAATTGAGTTAGAGAGCTCCGATTCCGCTCATTCTTCTTCTCTTCGGGTATACTTTCCGATAAAAAATGTAAAAAAACTTCTGAAATTTTGTGGTAATTTTTCATATACTGAATTGGAGGATTCGTTACTTCTATTCTTCAAATAATTGATTTGACATACTAAACGAGAGACTTTATGTAGTTAAGAAAATTTCGGTTATTTTTCCTTAAAACCACTCAATATCGCATACAAGGAGAAAAGATCAACGAAATATTACAAGAGAAATTTCATAAAAATTACTAAACAATGTACCGTAAAAATTGTCTGAGTTTTCAAAAAATGCACTAAAATTTATTTGTTTTTCTCGTATTTTTCATAAAAAACTCACAAATTTTATTGTTTGTTTTGCGAAAAATTGAATTTTAAGAGGGAGAACTTATTCTTTGTCTCACATGTTTGTTTTGATTTCAAACAAAAATTTCTGGAATACAATGTTGCTCTCCCATTACCTAAATTGTACATTAATGTTTCGTATGATTTTTTTCTTCGTGAAATTGCAGAAAGGGGGGCGATATGCACAATTTGAATTTTGTTTTGAAACATTCATAATTTATTGAACTGTTGTTGAAACGGGATAAATATTTTTCCTTGTACAGTGTCATTCTTCTTCGTCGTGCTGAGCTCAAACTGAGCTCAACTGATGAATTTACTTCTGATTTCTGATTGCTATGAACATTGAAAAAAAGTAAAATGTGTCCATTTTGCCCCACCATCCTTTAATTCATTTTATTCCTTCATAATCTACTTGACCTTCAATGATGAAAAATGGAGAAAAAGTACCAGTAACAACTGCTGTTTCTCTTTCAGCAATGTCTCTTTCTCAGCAGTCATTTCCATTTTAACTTTGGCCATTTTCGCTTCGGCCAACTGTAACTCAAGCTGCGCCTGTTGTCTGACCTTTTCCAACTGTTGTTCACTCAACTCAATTCTCTCTCTAACAAATTTAATTTTTTCTCTCATCTCCAGATTTTCCTCCCTCATTTTCGTATTTTTCTCAGTATTTTGATTAGTGAGTGTACTCATCTCAGCAAATGCACTCTGAAAAGTTGCAGAAATCTCCTTTCGTTTCTCCTCCTCCAGTCGCAACTTCAAATCAATTTCCTCCTTTTGAGCTTTATTTAGTTTCTGTAACTCACGACATAAATTTTCTAATCTTGATCGTGCCAGAACGGCTTTAGAACGCTGTTGTTGGCATTGTTCATTCTCCTGTTGCATTTTAGCAATTCTACCTTCTGCCATTTTGTAAGCCATCATTAGTTTACGATTAGCATGTAGCATCTCGGCGTATTTGTTACAAACTGTTGATAATTTTTGCTCTGACGTGTCCGAAGATTTGAGAATTTCTGCCACTTCATTTCCGTAGAGGAACGTAGAGTCTCGCTTTTTCTGTTTCGAGTGCTTTTTGCCGTGGGTTGAAGCAGTTGCCTACAAACAAATCGATAGATTGTATTAAGTAGAGAATTGGTTAAGGTTTTTCGCATGAAAAGTCAAAATAATGAAAAAAAATTGGAACATTCATGGCAGAAATGTCTGAGTATGCTGCATCATCGAGAATTCCTGCACATTTTTTTCAGATCTCAGTCTCAAGAAAGAAAAATGAAATTTGGATGTTTTGTAATCCCTCCAGCTATGACCTCCAAGATTACTCCACTCTCAATTAGGGAAATTAGCATGGCACCTGAAAAAATAATGAACTATTGAGGAAAAACTCGTGGGTGATGAATCAAATCTTTCTAGAGAACACGTATAAGTGTCAGATTTTTTTCAGATTTCATAAGAAAGTTATTTGGACAAATGATTCGGAAAATTATGAGTTTCAGGGCAATTACGCCCTCGCGCGCTGGCGCGTGATTCGAATGTCAGTGAGTATCATGAGAAAGGTATGGGTTGAGCCATGGAACTGAGAGAGAGAAAATACTCGACAGGTTTACCAACTCGAGACGCATTTTAATATTATTTCAATAATTAGAAAAACATCAAATAAAAATTATTTGACACCCGTAGGTGATGAGAAAAAATCAATCAATCTGATAAATAAAATCAATATTAAAAAAATGTTCAAATGTACACTTGAATAGTTACTTGAAAACTGAACAATTGCATGTTCAATGATTGAATCAGGGCTCGAGAACAAGATTAAGATTTCCCTTCAGTTTCACCCTCCGGTAATCTATACACGAAACACCTTAAGGATAATCGGGTGAGCTGGGAGGGTTGGAAAAAAAGCAGCCGTTTTTTTCTTTTTTTTAACGTATTCTTTAAATAATGGAAAAGGCGTGCACAAAGTTTGAGACTGCTGAGGAGCATAGTTAATTTATTATGAATTTTTGAAAAGGTGGTCATTTAACCCGTGATCTTATGGAAATCACCAAAAAAACTGCAAAACCCAAGGAAAAAATGCAGTCAAAGTCATGAAACTTTAGACACATTTAGAACATGTGATCAATAATTTTTTCAGTGAAAAAGATTGTCGCCTAGGAGCATTGTTTATTAATAATAGCGAAAAAAGCACTGCAAAATGTAATTTCCGCACACGTAGCCCAAACGAGCAGCAGTCCCAAGTACCGATCGGGTGGGGGTAGCGCGATAAATTTAAACGTCTCTTGAGAGAGAGCGATGAAGCGTTGTGATTGGAGCTCCCTCGAGCCGGTGGTACCAGCTCCTATTTTTTTATTTATTAAAAAAAAAAAAATCTGAAAACCGTTCAATGCGTGGAACAGATACATATAAATTTGATTAACTCCAAGAATAATTTTTAACCGGAGATACTCCCTAATATTGCCTGAATTTTAAATCCGAATGGAAAAAATTTTTTCGTTCAGCGATTGGTTTTCGGCAGGAAAACAATAGAAACCCCTCCGCCGCACCTCCTATATTTCCTCCTCGCCCGATTATCTTTAAGAAGACAACTCCAAATATGTGAGGGTAGCTGTATGCTTAAATAGGTTCGCGACAGGCATTCACATTCGAATTGAGTGGAGCCATGATTACAAGTGATTTCTTTTATTTCAGCTAGTGATTACATACCAAATTTTTATAATCATTCAAATAATAAAACATAAATTATTCGTGCAACTCTTCAGTCCTTCACTTGAACCTTATGTTTCCTGTACGTCAGTCTAGAGTACAGCTTGACTTTCCAATTGACAGTCCCGTTTGACACCTTGAAACTTGACAATAATTAAAACAGTTGTGAGAATGCGGAATAACGTCACTTTTTAAAATCCGTCAGGTCAGAAAAAATGACCGTCATGAGAGGTCAATTTTTCTCGTGTCATAATTTAGGTCCTACTTTCCCTTGCTATACTGAACCAAACTGAAGTGACTAAATGTAAACTGATAGTTGCGAAATTTCGTCACATTTGGTAATGATTCGTATATTACATTATTCATTTCGATTTGAATAGATTGATTGTATGTATTTGAGAAGCCACTCAACGCCTTGTCATTATGAAACTATGAAGCTATCTCCGAATCCCAAGTTATATTACTACTAGTTAGGTGTTTAGATAGTAGCAAAAGGAATATTTTGATGTTAAAATGTTTAATTCAGTTGCATAGTTTTTGAGATATCGACGAAAAAAGATTTACGAGGAATTGCTCCATCTCAAAAACAGCTTGACCAATTGAGCGAAATTAGGCTCAGATGTGCTCCCAAGCAGTGCCAATTATTCCACGAAATTTTGGATTTTTAGCTGGAACTTTGATCCGTATTTCGCGAAGATTTATAAAAAATCAGCACATACATATAAGGATATACACACTAGGGTGGCCGTTAGGGCACCCATTTCGGAATTTTTGATATGCCACTCCCTCAAAAGACGTGAAATAAATTTTTAAAAATCCTCTAAAAATTTCAGCTATCTCAATTCTAAAACGCTCCCCAAGATCCTTGTTTTTTTTCCATAAGAATAACACGAGATTTTCATGGAAAATTCGAATCTATGTCCCCCTCCCTCTCTTATGTCACTAAAAATTTTATAATCATGGAAAATTACTGAGTAAAATGAACTACTTTTATGGAAAATTTTTCGTTTTTTGTTCACATCATACATTGAGAAAAAAAAGTTTTTTGACAAGTACGTCTTTACTTACATCAAAAAACTCGTGGTTTAAACATTTTCAAGAGCAAAATATCTTGCACGGCGAAAAAAAAACTTCGGTCAAGAAATTTTGTACTTGTTCTAAAGACGAGGACAATTTTTTTTATGACAAGAAAGCGATTTCTCAAACCAAGTAAAAATGAATTAATTCATTTACTAAGTTTTTAGCTTCAATTGGAAAATATTTTAATGCAAATACCACTTGAATTGACTTGGGAACTCGTTTTCTTGATATGAACCAATTGCCCTCATCTTTCGGACAAGTACAAAATTTCTTGGCGTAAAATTTTTTTGTTAGTGTGAGATATTGTGCGCTTGGTATTTTTCGAGCCATGAATTTCTTCATACAAGTAAAGACATAAGTATAAAAAACTCATGTTTTCTCAGTGTCCAATAGTGCAATTATTCTTATGGGAAAAAAGTGCTATTCATATAGGAAAAACAAAGCTCTTGAGATAAAGAGCTGATAAAGAGCTGAAATTTTAAGAAGATTGTTTCAAAAATTTATTTCGAGTCTTGAGGGGGTGGCACGTTAAAAATTCTGGAACGGGTGCCTTAACGGCCACCCTAATACACACAAATTTTCTAAAAACATTATATCTTCACGTTTCATTACATTCTATGTCATTTTCAAGTGAAATTAGAACATTGTCAAAATAGACGATTACAAAGCTTCCATTCGGAAGCAAAAGGATATGTTAGCGTAAATGTTCGTCATTATTATCTTGATTTCGTAGATAATAGTCACGAGTTATGGAAGTGCTTGGATCGGAAGCATCGGAGGTAGTCTAAATGAAACTCATGTAGTTTGTGAAGACAAAATGAACTTTAACTCCTCACGGACGGGACCCTTCTGATACCAAACGTAGTGTGTGCTGAATATTACTCGAATTTGATTATTTCTAATGAATGGAGAATTATGAAACCGGTATCTACTTGAAGCTGCAGTATTCCGGTTTCCAATTTTGTCTTTCTGATCAAGTTATCCTTCATAGATTTGGAAATAATCAATTTTGGAAACGAGCGTTCACATTCACATGGGTCGATACCATGCATCGACCCCGTACGTGAGGGGTTAATGATTCGTAACTGATTCGACGTTACAGTAAAAGAAAACTGATAAATGAAAATAATCGAACTGAATGTTGTATGGTAGCACTCAAATAACAGTTTAACCCTTCAGAACTCGCGCTATAAGCGCCGCGCCGCCTTTTTCAAATTTTCGCTTGCCTCTTGCAAAATTGAGCTTTCAAAAAATTGAAAAAATTAGAATGCCTAGCTTGAATCATTTAGAATGGATTAGCAAGGTTCTTCTCCGCTGAAAATCCATCAAGGCTACGAAAAATAATAAATTGTTGAGGCTCACACGCAAAAGCGGCGCCGTAGCGCCCAGCGCGAGTAACGAAGGATGTAAAATTTTCAATTCCGCTGTTGCTGTTTCCCGCTCGCCGCACGCTCGGCGCGTACCTATGAACGTGACAACGCTGCGTTACTGAAAGCACGGGCGGCGCAGCTACGCGAGTAACGAAGGTCGGTAGCTGAGCGCGAGTTCTGAAGGGTTAATAGTAATAATATTGGAAACTCAAACGTAGAATCAAACGACCGAAAGTTAATGTTCTGTCCACGCCGGTGATCCATCATAACTCTCGCCTCGACAGTTGATGAAAGTAGTAAAAAAAAAAGTTGTTTTTGTACCTAAAAAAGTAGGAAAAACTTTTGACCCGACCTACTTTGGTCTGTATGTCAAAATATAACGTCTTTTTTTCTTAGTTTTCAGGCTTTCGCGGCCATGATTATTAGTATTATTATTGACTTCCGGATGGATGCCGCGTTTGGCTTCAGCATTGCGTCGACGTTTCGCAAATATTGCAGTCTACATCTTCAGTTTTTTTTCCTATTTTTGGCTTTTAAATGCTCCTATCACCCTATTTTTTATCCGAATCATTTTCATTGTGAGAAGGTCAGTCTAGTTATTTTGTATATTTTGGAACATTTTAAGAACGAAGTATTAAAGTCAGCGTCTCAGAAACCAACTGTGTGGTTCAGGTATGTGGATGACACCTTTGTCATCTGGTCACATGGAAAGACTGCTCTAACTCAGTTCCTGGAGTTCTTGAATACTCAGCACGCAAGTATCAAGTTCACCATGGAAACTGAGCAGGACAGATGTCTTCCGTTTCTAGATGTGCTGGTTCGACGTAACCAAGTATATCGCAAACCAACTCACACAGATAGGTATCTGAATGCCACTTCCCATCACCACGCCTCCCAAAAGAACTCTGTCATTAGCTCCCTAATGCATAGAGCACTCACAATCTCCCA